CCCTGATTCTGACTTGACAAGAACACCTCTGCTTTGGCGAAATGGGTCCATCACTATCCAATCCTTTCGGTACGGAAACCATAGTATGCCTTATTTCGTAGCATCTAGTGGGTGACTTCGTATTTTTCCTAATACTGGGAAGATGAAAGCTTGGTGGCTGTTCTACAGTATGGTTTTCTACTAGTTCGACCATTTTATGCCAACATGCTCCTGAATGAGGCCTCTCATGGTTGCCTCGTGTATAGCGCCGCGAGCAGCAAGCATTGCCCCTTGAGGTGGTGAACAGCATTGGATGCATAAATCGGGGTTTGTCTGAGAAACTCAATGGAAGCGGAGCGCTCGATGGCTTTCCATAGCTTCGGTCTCTACTTACTGTGGGGGTTTAGCCTGCAATGCTGAGGACTTGCTCGGTTAAGCACGAAATGGCTGGAACTCACATAGCAGACGACCGCCGCACGAAGTAGGAGCGTCAAAATGAGCACCACAGTGCACGCCGAGATAGATGATTATAGATGTCCATATACTTTTGTTGCGCACTGATAAAAAACGATAAGATACGATGGTGCAACTGTTAGCAGAGTTACGAACCAACATAGTGTGCTATCAATTCAAGGTGACATTGCGAATGTGATCACACATTCCACTGTATAAAACAAGCATTTGGTGTGTTCCGAGCATTGCACAAGCTGCTCGCGGGGCAGCTGGACGTGAGCGCGTGGATGGATCAGGGTAGGGAAGGGATTGAGGCACTGGAGGGGGGGGGGGAGGAGGGGTGGTGGGTATAGACTGGGAAGCGTAGAGTGCGGCAACAAGGGTACATCGCTACTTTGGTGAAAGCGATAGGAACAACCCACCGCTAGCAGAGTTGCGAGCCAATTCATGTCGTGGTATCAATTCGAGGTAATGTTTTGAATGTGATAACACCCTTTTACTTCAAACGTTTGAGTACTGATGAAAACGAATAATACGGGACAAGGAAAATGCACAAACGTACGTAGCAAAAATTTTAGCATCTGCAGTCGGTGTGGGACATGATCGAATGGATTGCATGGTAGTAGAAAAGGTGAGCGCTGATTGATTGGCGTTCGGTACAAGTAATGGAAGTAAAATTTCTGCTTTCACTGGCAACTCGTATTGCGCTGTATTGGCTCCACTTTCTATCTGTATCTATAGATCTATGTATGGTATGGGCTTTATGGCCCAAACCACCACCCTATCTGTCGAAGAAGCGTGGACTCCGGATTCGCTGGTCTGCTCTATCTGTTACGATTCATTCAATACAGCACAATATGAGCAGCTTAGTGAATGGCAAATTCCGTTTCCATTATGGAGTGCGCCAGGAAAGCCAGATCACGGTAAGCCTAAAGAGGGTGAGGGGAGCACGGCGTGAGCCAGAGACGCCCGACGGTATGGGATAAGTCGAAAAGTACCTCGATTTCTGAGGGACTTTTAAGCTTTGGAAACTTCCTTAAAGTCATGATATACCCATGTGCAGAAACCCCAGAGGACAGTCTCCACTAATCAGGGATAAAACATTCGAAATGTTTTTCGGTCTTTTTCTAGAACAATTCGATCAAAGTGTCGAAAGACTTTTCGTGCAACCTAATACATAGTAGGATAGGATGTCGATCCTATCTTTTATACATACAGTCCTGTTCAGAACGAATGCTAGGACGTGTCAGGGAGGGGGGGGGGAAGAATGCTCGAACAGGCATGGCTCTAACCCGTCCTCCACCAATTGTTGAAGCGAGCAAGCGACAACAAACTGTTGTGGAAATCTTGTTTGCGCCACGCCAAGCCTTGCGTCCCGACAGACCCCTGGCAGCAGAAAAGACTGGAAGTTTTATTCTTTTTCCTGTCTGGACCATCACGCTCTCTTCTCGTAGTTGTGCCTTCAGTGCTTCGCACCGAAACACACTGTTGACACAGTATCGTTTTCCGGTCGTTTCTTGACAGAAACGAGGGCTCATTTTTATTGTACCTCAGAGAACCAAGGGAGAATTATCTTTAACCAATCAACGACGGCTCTGGTGGTTATTCTTCATTCAGTACTTTTCCGCACTATTGCTAGATCAGCCCTGATTTCTTTCAATGTTTTCCTGTAGGCGGCAAACTCTCCAGTGGATCTGAAATACAGTTATTTGAGTGAGGTGAGGAGATCGGACAGCGATGAAGGCTTCAAAACGTCAACAGGTCTTCGGAAAACCATTGTGACGTCATACCCTCCGATTTTATTCTCCAACGCAAGGAGTGTTTCAATCGCCTTTCGAATGCTGTCATCGGTTCTGTGGATGTAAAACTGAAAGTATTCAAATAGAAATCTTTGCAAAAAAAGGGGCAGGGGAGATGCTAAGAGGGAGGATGTTCGAAGGGCCCCTCGTACAAAAGTGAAATTGTCTTTGGAAGCTTCCAGGGGGTAAACTCTTGGCTTGACGAGCCAATTTCGTTGCGCATAAAGGGGTCTCGTGCTACTGTAAACCGTGAACCCAATTTCGACCATGTGGTCAGGGCACGCCATCGCGTTGTGATCATTTTCTAAAAAATTCCCTGCCCATGCTACCTACCCCTTTCCTAGATCTTCCCAATTGGGAGGGGGCAGAATGGAATGTGAAGCAGGAAAATTTCTCAGATTCTCCCTAACCTCCTACCGTTCCCCAATTTCGCTGTCGAGCGGGGAGGGGAAAGTCGTCAGGAAGTAAAGTTGCGAAGTCTGAACGCTGCCTAATCGCAGACGCTGTCTTTCTGTGCACTCTTGTTAGCCATCTTGGACAAATCTCGGGGAACATCTTACCTTAAGCTCACCGATTCCGTAGCACTCCATAAGAAGACCGTTTATAGCAACGATAACTACTAAATGAGGTCACCGCACTGGTGCAGACATTCTAGTGATAGCGCCATCGTCAGATTCTGAAGTAAACACAGAGAATATTAGTATTATCAGTTCTATTATCAGGTAGGGGAGACGGTCAAGACAATTGTGGTTTGTCGCGACGTCGCCCGGGACGCTCACCAGCGCGAAGAACCACGACTGCCTTGTTACACACTCCGAAACAATATGTCTAAAGAAGGTGATTATGTACAGTCGCGGAAAAAAATTTTGGAACAATCCCAAGTCGCCGCTTTTTAATAACTCAGTTGGCTTAGGCGGGAGCTGATCCGTGCTTTGGACCTCAGACTACGCTTGCGGTAAGTGGCGCCACTTGTCACTACACTATCTCCGCTCAACTAGTATTTTAATATTATTCTATTGTAACATTATATTCTTAGGCTTGGTTGGCCTGACCGGGAGCCGACCCAAGATTTGTGTAAATACTTGAATGAGCCCCCGGCCCTCGCGTGTTCATGGGTATCCGTAAGGTGTCGACTGCCAAGTTTGAGCCACTAGCCACTACAGGGTGACAAAATCAAGGTGGACCAGATCAGAGGTAATTGGGTGAAGCCTCAGGTACATCAAGCGTCAGGAAGACAGGCGCCCGATGGTCAGACTTAGCCGTGAGAGCCCTACACGAGCAATTTGATCCGCTTCTGTCCTTCAAACTAGCTCCTGCTCGAGGAGTTCGACAGCCAATGAAATGGCAAGTGACGGAGTGATCATGCCACTTCCGAGCATGACTTAGCAGATCCAACTGTCCGCGAGACGTTCTTAGAACTTTGATGCCCTTCAGCAGGTTTTTCCAGAGCATGTCCTGCTATCAGAGGAAATTTTTGCAAAAATGCGTTTTCCTTCCCTCCTCGACCAAACACTACCCCACACCCCTCGAAGTGTATCCTCAACGTGCGACATGCTCTGGCTATTTCTAGATTGAAGACCCCTTATATTCTCAGGCTGCTCATATTATTTTATCGTATTTATTTTTTATTCTTTGGCGATTGAGCAGCCCATCGACGGCGAACAAAAACCAGTTTCATTTTTTCAGAGTCATTCTTCAGTGTGAGTGACAGATCTGATTATTTATTCATGCCAGTGATTTGCTTTCCCACGGCTCCTTTATGAATAGGAAACATTCCTTCCTACTGTTGTTTGTTGAATTTTGGAATTCTTTCGTCGCGTATTCACATTATTTGCTTAAAAATTTGCAAATTGCAGACTGCTTGTAGATTTCTAAAGAGCAATGCGAAGGCGGAGTTTGTGTGGAAGCGAGTGGCGCCGCTGGAGCAGCTGAACTGCGCCAGCAGCGGAAGGTATTTCGCACTTTTGCTACTTCCCATCGACGTGTCTAGCCATCTAGAGCTGTTTGGCTGCGTTTATACTTTGCGGCAGCGTAGCGTAGCGTAGCGCAGCGTAGCGTAGC